AGTTGCCCCTTGTAAATTTGATGTTCTTAAAACTAGCATATTTGCTTTAAGAACATCAAATTTCCGCGGGGCAACTATCAGCCGATAGTTCCTCGACAGAAACACACTATTGTTTATTTAGTGTACGCTGTGGTGTTTACCATTTGTTTGATAACATAACATTGATACATTGTAGCTAAAGAGTTCCCTTTCATTTAACAAATCTTACGTGACCAGAAAATACAAGCGCGCGGAAAAATTGTCTTTGCATTTGTTCACGTCAGCAGCGTACACCCATGGGCAAATGGGGACGCTGAATTGACCAATCAGATGGCGCGCTTCACTTGTGTTGTGTTATAACATACTTTGGCATAAATTTTTTAAATTTTGTTTAGCTCGGCGGATATGGGGGATAATTACCGCCAAAATTAAGTTAGGACTTGATGATACTGTCTGGCAATGCTGTTTTCAATGTTTTCACTGGTGCTTTTGATATTACGAATTGTGTTTAACTTATTCTCAAATATGTTCGCCAAAGTTGTTGTTTTGCTCCTCTATTCGATTCTATGTTTTTCGAAATATGTTTGTGTCAGTTTCAATCTGTGTTGAGCGAATTCCGATTCTGTTATTCGTGTTTCGAATTATGTGTTTCGAATTATGTGGTGTCAAGCGGTACTCTCGATTTCCGGTTAAAAAACAGTTTTCTTTTATTTTTTGCTCACGAAAATAAGGGGTTAGGACATAGATTTTAAAAATAGTTTGAAGTTTTTCTCCAATTCTTTTTTGTTTTTTTGCGTCACCACGAGCTGAAATTTATGTTTTCGATCGAAAGTGTATATTTCGCAGATTTTGTCGAGTGTGCTGCTACTGCAATAATATATTTCACGGAATTCTATCTTGCCACAAGTCACAAGATGTACTCAGTCGGTTAACAAACAAAGTATGGACATTTTACTAGAAGTGTTTTTCATACCTGCGGGATCAGAAGAGAATTTTTTCCTTTACCTAAGCTTTTATATCAAATATTCACCAATTTGTAAGAAAGAATTCTCAAATTTGAGGCTAAAAATGCACATCGGTGCATAGTTTATACACCACTGAGGTCACCGAGTGCCCCAAATTCGCAGGTGTCTCTTTAGCTTTCATCAACCAGCATCTTGAAAACAACAAATCAAGTTTTATCAAAAGTGCTCGTGTGTAAGCTCATCTGCAGAATTCTGAAAATTGTCTAAGATATCCTTTTGACCGTTCAAACTTCGTTTGCTTATCTTTTATGTTGAGGATTTTAGGCTTTCGTAGTAATTGGATGGAAAATAGATCCCGGGTTGTCCTTAAATTAAACGTTCCATCTTTGAAATCTTGATGCATTCTGCTCCACTACTTACTTATCAAAGGAATTATATTCCAGATGAGAAACCATTTTTAAATAATCTCCAACATTCTGACGCGATGCAACTGAAAGTTTTTGTGCAGTAAAATCGTCATAGAATCCATCAGGAAGTAAAACCGTTCGAATGACCACAACACCTACGAGTGTTGCAGGGCTTAAATTGTACTGTAAGAAAAGTATATCAATGTTTTTGTCTTTTTTAGTCATTTATTTATCCATTAGGGAAGAATTATGGTACTTAATGACTTTCATTTCCGATTAGCCTTAGCTTGAAGGTTTTGTTTTCCTAATCGAGATTTCAAGGGAACTCCACCCTTTACAAATAATGCGTACATATGTATTCTCTAGAGCATCATCACATGCATGATCTACGTACATTTGGAATACAAAGCGGATGTTGCTAAAAACCAGAACGGGGAACCATTGACAGCTAGTGAACGGTAACATTTCCTGTTCCCCTTTACGGGTTTTAGAGACATCCCGTTTTCAGGCCTTTATCTATTGGCTGACAACAACGGGAAAAACCCTTAAAAAATTTCATTTTTTAGAGTGTCAGAATAGCTGTGAATGTGGTAATTCTAGTGGCCGGCGCTTACTTAGGCTTTAGCAAAGATGATATCATCGGTGACAAATTACTCTTTAATTTTGGCGCGAAATTTCAAAGTTAATTTTTAATTTCACATGTGAAATTGCAAAACTGCCATGGTAACATCTCTTGTATCTCGATCAGAGCCAAGATGGCGTCGAGATTTAAGACGGTGATCCTTGAAGAACGGTTACGAAATTAAAAGAAGCGGCCGAAAATTTAAATACGCGAAAGAGCACAATTAACTGGGTGCGAGTTTTTGAGAAGTGGTGTGACGAAAATAGCTTTGAGAAAAACCTGGAGATGATTCTTCCCAAGCAGTTGGATGAGGTACTCAAGCGATTTTACGCCTCCGTGTGTAAACATAAATTGTCACCCACGATATTAAAAGGTACTTAAACGGTTTTCTCGTGAAATTAGGAAATAATTTCACTTGCGTTTTGTCAAAATTCTGATAATTTCCCTCGCTCGGGGAGGGAAAACAAAACGCGCGTGAAATTATTTCCTAATTTCACTCGTCGCCGTTTCATTACACATGCAAACTACTTACTACTTTCTCACAAGTCTCAGGCCCTATAAGAGAGTGGACGTACTGAAGAACGAAACCTGCGACGGTAATGGATGGCAATCCGCTCAGAATATTCTAATGTGCTTAGAACAAGTCACACAATGCGGATGTTAATTTGTCTAGCAGATGAAGTCAAAGTAAAGAAGGGAATATCCCTTTCGCGTTTAGCAGATTATTGACTATAATTTCTTAGATGACTGGTAATACAATAACTCCCGCAACCACATATAGAAGCTGAGAAAACAGCTTATCTTAGCCTCGATAAGCCTTGGAATGCGGCCTTTATTCTTCTTTATTGACAGTTGGAGGATTTCGACTTCTCTATGATAAGCTCGCCGTTCTTCTCAATAACAAGAGCTCAGGCTGAAGCTTAACAAATAAGAGCAGCTAAATTCGGCATTGCCGACAAGAAATTTGAAAGTGTAATTGAAATACATTTAATTATACTTTTCCTCCCGTTCCAAGTTTGGTACAGTTCATGCCGTATGATTAAAGGTTGAATGCATTTCGTGTGAAAAAGCAGAGAGAGGTTGTAAATTAACTGCAGGTCCATACTTGCTTTAATGTTTGTTTTGGCATTTATCTAAATCTAAATGATGGTAAACCTCTTACTTGCGATCTTCTAGATATAACAATTCATGGCCTCTGCAAGACCATCATTTCCTTCCTCGAGAGAGACAACTAATTATGCCCGGATGTGCAGGCTTCTGGTGGATGCTGGAAGACATGTCTTGAGTGATGTATTTGACACGAAACGTCCTCCAGGGCAACTACACGTGTTTTTGTCAATTCCTGCAGTTCACTCAACACTAGCTAGACTTAAAAAGAGGGGAGTTCTTAATCCTTCTCAATGGGCAAAATTATATCCTGCGATCAGATCCTCAGCTTCATCGGCCAATTTCGACATCACCCTACTAACGCTTCTGCTTAGAAATACTTGTAATCTTGTTCCTCCGCCTACTGGCTGGAATGCGTTTCCTCCAGCAGCAGACACATCCCTTGTGGCAGATATCATTCGTATTAGGTGCTACAGAAACGAAGTTTATGGTCATGCCGAAAAGGCTTCATTTAATGACGCAGTATTCATTCAGTACTGGCAGGACATCAAAGAGGCTCTGGTACGATTGGGAGGAAGTCGTTACCGAACTGCCATCGATGAACTCCTGAATGAATCTATGGACCCAGATGTTGAAGAATATTACCAAGATCTTCTTAAACAGTGGGTTATGGAGGAGCTCATCATTAAGGAATCTTTAGATAAGGTCCTTCAGAAGCTCGATCAACTGAAACTTTCTGTTGAGAGTAAGCAAGGTAAGAAACCGGAAAATTATGATTGTTATTCATATCTTGTTTGAAATCCTAGTTTTATTTTTTTTCCATGAAAAAATATCTCAGAAAGCACAAGCTAATTATCATGTGTGAATTATGATGCTGTGCTCCTCTTTCCTCGACAGCAGTGACCTATCATCATGCTACGGGTTCTAATGCGTACTACTTCAGTGGGGATAGTCCATCTATTACCTTTCGAAATGTTGGCAACCCTAGTCGGTATGAAATTGAGTACTTTTATTTCAATTTTTGTTTTTATTTATTTACTACACAATGATGCATAATAATTGGTTACGTAAACTTGTGTCTAACCACATACGTTATTGCTTTAGTTTGTTTCAGGCTGAAAGAGGTCTTCCAGAACCAGGTCGCAGAATCCAAGATTATTCCGAAGAAAACGAGTCCGTTGATTGAAAGATAAAAGACTCTACAGGATCGGAATAGCCAGCGATCTCTCTCCCTAAAACAGCTGTTGTCAATTTATAATGCTACTTAGAATAGGCTTATGTAATCATTTAATCCTAAACATATATAATAATCTTTGTTGGGTATCAGTGATATCATGTCCTTAAGAATGTTAAGGGGCATAGCTAGAAAAGAGGGGGTGGGGGTCCTGAGGTGGCCGTGACCCCCTCACCCTCTGTATGAGCCTTTTTTGATAAAAAAAAAAACTTACAATATTCAAGTGGCGAAAACGCTAAGACGATATCTAGGCCGAAAAAGCTATTGTCGAAACGCCCACTTTTTTGAAATTTTTTATGTATTAAGTGTTTTTACCAATGGGGACCTTCAATATGGGTCTTGTATTTTGTCAATACGGGCCTTTGCGCCGCATCAATGCGAGCCCACTGATACACAAGGGAGAGCAGCGGTATAAGCCATATACAGTTAACGATCCCTGGATGGTTTCCCTTCTTAACATGCGGATTTTCAGCTTGAAAATGTCGAAACAGACGAAAGTTTTCAGAGTAGTGAGGAGAGGTAAGCTAAGCCTTGGCAAATTGTATCAATTCTGTAGTCGTTTTCTTTTTTCATGGCCCGCTTCCCATCGCTTTAGACATCTCTCCTAAAATAAAAAGTAAATCATTATTGTCAAATTTACCTTTTTTGTTCGGCAACACTTCTAAAGATTCATTTTTCGACATCAACTTCCAATCAGTTTATTAATGTTTGTCTTGCTGCGTAACTGAAAAAGGGCAATTTCATGAGTTTCTAGAGGTGCTTTTTCTAAATGCAAACTAAATTGCTTAAAGTGCACCTAAACCTCAATTTTTTTCGCTTAACGAAATAAGCGTATTTTTTGGAGTATTTCTGTGCAAAAAATTTTTATTTGCTCAAATCTTCAATTTTCTGTGCCTAGTCAAAAGACGGAAAAGGGCCGCCATCTTGGCTCACAACCGAGTTTATAGAGGAATGGTTCTAGCGGGTAATGTGACGTCAAATCGAGAACACGAAAGTCTGCATCTCACACATTTTCACTTGTTTGGTTGTCGTCGATATTGTCCGAAATATGCCGACAAGGTGTGTTGTATGAGGAATGTATGAAGCGCGATACCCTCTTGCAAATTTCGCACTTTGCTTCGTCCACCTACAACACACTTAGTCCGCATATTCTCCGACAACATCGACCACAACCTTCCCAAATAAGGGAAAATGTGCGAAATGTAAACTTCCGTGTTCTCGAATTGACGTCACATTACCCGCTAGAACCATTCCTCTTTAAACTCAGTCGTGAGCCAAGATGGCGGCTGATTTTCCTCATTTTGACTGGGCACAGAAAATCAAAGATTTGAGCAAATCAAAAAGTTTTTGCAAAGAAATACTCCAAAAATACGCATATTTCGTTAAGCGAAAAAACTTTTTTGGGTTTAGTTGCACTTTTATGTTATAAAAGAGTTTTGTCTTGAAATCCATCTCTAATATCGTGGGCGCTTTGAAGTAATATCCGTGAATAGTAACCATAGCCTCCTGAGCTTGTAGAATTCTTACAGAAAGAAGTTGAAAGCAAATGAAGTGGTTGGCGTAAGCTTCACAATGAAACGCCTCCCTTGTCTATTTTCTTCTTTTATTTCATTGTATTTGCATTTGCTGTTTTATGGCTTACTCTAAATATCATTGTAAACAGGGTATTATCGTTAATTTCTTATTGTTGATTATTCCACGAAAACCACATTTGAAATCATTGTAACGTTTATATAAAATCAGAGCAGTAAATTTAAAGACAAAGATGGGGTCTAAAACAAAGCTCAACTTCTAACTTAAAACGTAATTGTGTTTTATGCTGTAGAATAAAGAAGCTGAAACGGAACGAAAGTTTATATAATTAGTTGTGGATTTTTAGCTGAGCATCATCCCAAGGGTATTTTAAACCTAACCCGTTGGAAATAGAGAGAGATGTTGTTCGTCTTGTCTCGAGCGTGGGACAAAGAAAAAAATGTGAAGGTGTAGTCTGATCGTCCGGGTGAGTGTAGTCCTGAGAAGGACTGTTGTCGGTGGCAGTGACTGACGTTTCGACAACCTGTGCGGAGGTCATCATCAGAGTCAAGTGAATGATTGTTGTCAGTAGAATGTTCTTATTCCAGTTCGTGTGAAATGATCGGTTGGTTTTGCCGTGATGTTATTGGCTGTAAGACTCAAGTGACGTAAGTCGGTCGTGATTGGTCTGTTTCGGTCTGTCGGTAAAGCTAGGTTGTTCTTTTTCGGTCGTTTGTGATGTTTATGTCGTGAATGAGTCGTTTGTATGGGGCGGGTAGTTGTTGACATCTGTTTAGGGGAGTCTGTTCTAAGTTAGTAAACCAGCTTTCCAGAGTCAGTCGTTGAAAATAGTCAGTGCTGTAGGTTAGGCATTGCGCAGAGTCCCAGTCAATGTTGTGGTTGGTAAGTCGATGGTGTTCAGCAATGTGATTGCTGACATCACCTTTCCTCGTCGCCCGTCTGTGTTCAGTCAGTCTTGTTGTGAGGTTTCTGCCAGTCTCACCGATGTAGGAGGCTTGGCAGTCGGAACAATTGATCTTATAAATCGTTCCCTGTCTGTTCCTCGGTTCGTCTTTGTCTTTAACGTTGGTTAGTAACTGACGTAGTGTGGTGATGGGTTTGTGGGCGACGCGGATATTGAAGGGTAGTAAGATGCGCGAGATGTTTTCAGACATACCTTTTATGTACGGTATGGTTGCTGTAGTCGTAGGGGTTGCGGTGTCGTTTGTTTCGGTAGTGGTAGTGGGTCGGTGAGTGTTTCGTCGGATGAAGTCGTTGTTGTAGTTGTTCTTCGTAAAAACACGGTGAAGGTATTTGTTCTCGTCGGATAAGCTGTCTGTCGAGTC